CAGCAAAGAAATGCCACAAGTTTGTTTTTCCTTTTTTGTTGTTGCCCCTAAATTGATGACAATTGATAAATTATCGCACTCGCGCTGAGTGCCCGGCCTATGTGTACGCGTATGTGTGTGTGTGTGTGTATCTATGTGTGTGTGCAGCCCAGCTCAAATCTGAACCTCAGCTCGAGTGCACATGAATCCATTGGCTGCATCAATATTTTTCTTTGCACACACTTTCAGCTTATAGCTTTTGGTCTTGCTGTAGCTGTGTTTGCCTCTATATTGTTGTGATTAGCCAGCTTTATCTGTGTTTGTAGCTCATCTCACATGTATCTCAACGTTCAGCCCAGACCAGCCGCTCGTATCCATTCACATTTGTTGGTCTCTTCTCTTCTCTGCATTTCTCACTTTTTTTAGCTCTGGATATTTATTTATCTTCAGCTCCATCTCCTGTCCAGGTTTATATCTGTATTTCCAGCTAAGCATCGCAGCTGTATCTGCGACTCAGTCTGTATCTTAAACGTTTATGGTATCTAAATATCGCATTTGTATCTGTATCTTCAACTCCAACTGCAGCTGCACTCTATCTCTCTCTCTCCACCCTCTCTCTCTCTCTCGCTCTCTCTCTCTCTCTCTCTCTCTCTCTCTCTCTGCATCTCACATCCATTTGTTTATCTTTAGTTCCATCTATAGCCCAGGTTTATATCTGTATTTCCAGCTAAGCATCGCATTTGTATCTCTATCTCTATTTCCACTCGTATCTGTATCTTTGTCGACACTGGCTACGCAGCTAACATCTGATGGAATTGTTGACACCTTTTGTGTTGCTGCGTCAATCAGTCAGTCATCTGTCTGTCAATCTGTTTGTCAGTCGGACGGTGTGTCTCTCAGCTTGTCTCTCCTACTGTCAACTGGAGCGGCGAATAGCTGCCTCTGCTGCTTCTCATAATTTGTAGCCACTTTTGTTGTGCTATTTATAAAAAGCATTTTGCGCTTCGCCAATCTCAATGTGAATTTCGGTATAAATTCCCAACACAACCCCCACCCGCACACACACACATGAACAGCTTTTGCTCTTGCTTTAAAGAATTTACAGCGTTTGGCTTAAAATTCGACTTATTCACTTGCATTTACTGGAATTGATGTTAAGTCCTTGATTGAAACCTTAACAGAATGTTCTCTGGCCGGGAGTGCACGACTTAGAGATACGCTGAGCAATACGATGAGCCTTTACCGACTCTTCCCTCACTTCTATTATATAACTTGCGTGCTTAAATAAATAATAAATAAATCATTTGTTTACAGAAAATGAACCATAACTTTGATTTATGCTGAAGAAACCTTGACTTAACCTCCATGTTTTATGGATATTATGAAAATGGAGGCAGATATAAATTCACTTGTATTCAACACACAAATTTCAATGGAGAATTACAAATTTAAAGCCAGACTTCGATGTGGGACAAAGACGAAACACTTGAGGCGTGAATTTTCAATATAATTTGCACACACTTTTCAGCATATACGAGTGCAGTCAGTCAGGTTTATTCGCAATTTGAAATTCACGTGAAATCGTAGTAGCAAATAAAAATTGCATATTTACTTAAATTTTTTCTTCTTTTTTTCTGTTAGGGGTTGCATTCGGTGCGTAATGCACAATTAATTTGTTTATAATCTAATTTCATGCAAAAATTGCTGTAATTTGCCAATCAGCATTGAAACTGAAGTCCGGGCAATGCGCGCGCGCTTCCAACAATAAACAACAGCATCTAAAATTCTAACAAGCCAATCAACGCACAACGACCACGACCCAAATCCGAGATACAGATACAAATAGAGATGGGGCCACAGATACGGATACAGAGAAATTTGTAGATACAGATACAGATACAGATACAGATACAGATACAGATACAGATACAGATACAGATACAGATACAGATACAGATACAGATACAGATACAGATACAGATACAGATACAGATACAGATACAGATACAGATACAGATACAGATACAGATACAGATACAGATACAGATACAGATACAGATACAGATACAGATACAGATACAGATACAGATACAGATACAGATACAGATACAGATACAGATACAGATACAGATACAGATACAGATACAGATACAGATACAGATACAGATACAGATACAGATACAGATACAGATACAGATACAGATACAGATACAGATACAGATACAGATACAGATACAGATACAGATACAGATACAGATACAGATACAGATACAGATACAGATACAGATACAGATACAGATACAGATACAGATACAGATACAGATACAGATACAGATACAGATACAGATACAGATACAGATACAGATACAGATACAGATACAGATACAGATACAGATACAGATACAGATACAGATACAGATACAGATACAGATACAGATACAGATACAGATACAGATACAGATACAGATACAGATACAGATACAGATACAGATACAGATACAGATACAGATACAGATACAGATACAGATACAGATACAGATACAGATACAGATACAGATACAGATACAGATACAGATACAGATACATTTGGAAAATGCGTCGCATTTGCTGTTGATCTTCGCTAGAGTGAAGAGTGTTTGTGAGCGTGTGTGCGTGTGTGTGCTGTGGCGAGGGGCGGGGCAGGTGGCCTTCAGCGATCAATGTCATTTCGTTTGATTCCATTAAAGTGCGACCCCAAAAAGTAAGCCTGAAAACTGCGAACTACGCAACGCGCAGCGTAAATGGAAATGACAGCTGCCCAAAGGGGGAATGGGTGGTGGGAGGTGGGTGGTGAAGGGGTGGCTGGGTGGCTGTGTTAGCGTTGTGCAGCGGTTAGCTGTGAAATCAATCGCAACCCTTTTTTGCCACATCACGTGGCCAGGTGGAGCCACGGCTCGCCGCAGGTGCGTAAGTTAACAGCTCCATTGACTACAGCCACATAATTTATCTTATTTTTAGCCTGGCCGCACACTTGAGGGCCACGTTTAAGGCAGGCCACACAAGCCAACCGCTCGCCCCCTCCCCCACCCCCTTCCCCTACCCTAGCCCTTTGCCACGTAATACACAAATTTCAGCATAACTTTGACTGGCTTATAAATGTCGAACGATTTATTTGCGGCTGTTTGCACAGGTGCGCGGGCCCAGCCAGCCAGCGGGGTCAGCAGATACTACCTACCCACACACATACACACATATACATATATCTTAATATATGTATACATCTACACTATATAAAGTATGGGTATATGGTAGCTATATCCCAACGCTGACGCGTTTAACAAACTGTTTCAAATTTGTTTAGTACAAAAAAGCACTGAAAAAAAACAGGCGGCAGTGCCCGACCAGCAGATACCCTAAGCCAAAACCGAGCTACTGTTGTCCTCTATATATACCATCACACACACATAAATCTACACACACACACATGCACGCTGCATCTTCTTGCCTTTGCCATAGTCTATGGAATATGCCTCCTCAAATAACTTCGGTACTTATTGTCCGATCGTGATGAAACTTTCAGGACTTGAATAGCGCAAACAAAAGAGCACGCATACCAAAGCGCTAGACTTGACCTTCGAAGTGCCCAGTTCCTAGAATCTTTGAACTAAGTCTCAAAATCGATATTTATCGATAGTTTGTTTTGCATAGGCTATTTAAGTGTCTTCCTCTTAATTCTGGGACAAAAGATCGTCCCGAGCCGGAAGCGCGTCTTCCTTTACGGAACCCTTATACCCGCTTTGCCCACATTCGAAGGGTATACAAAATGCGATGCGATTGGGAACGAAGTCTGCGCTGCTTTTTGGCCAGCGTTCAGTTGGGCGTTGACTCTAGGTAAATGAGGCGTGGCAGTTGGCATTGATAGCCTCTGTGGCCTTTTTGCCACGTCTTTTCGCATCAGATGAAGTGCAAAATCGACTTGCGAGCTAGAGCTGAGAGAGTGCAACTTTAATGGGCCACTCAGCTGCAAAATGAATGAGTATGTTAGTGAGTGTGTGTGTGGGTGTGTGTGAGTGTGTGTGGGTGTGTGTGAGTGTGTGCGGGTGTGTGTGAGTGAATGAAAGGTGCACACGTGGCGTATACGCAATCCGCAAAGCCCGATGCAATGCCGGGCACGTCGCAGGAGTTACCAAGGGTTGTTGCTATTGTTGTTCGTGTGGTATTCAAAGCATTCACAAGTGCCAGCAGCTCGAACTGGATAAACAAGCGAATCAGCTGCGAATCAAGTCAACAAGTCATTTTCCACTCAAAAGCCAGTTAAATTCAAGGAATGCACTCGAAAAAAGGCAACTCATGTCGGCAATTCCAAGCAATGCATTTATTCACTTTAAGAGTGAATGAATATTCAACAGTTATATTCATTAAAGCAACTACACTCATTCGACTCATGAATAAATGATTCGCAAATGATACGTCTGTGCGTATTTGGGCGAGTGTAGAACTCACGAGCTTATCGGCACCAGAAGCTCGCATTTATTTCGATAAATATTCGATAACTCGCTCTATTTATATGAAATCGATAAGAATCGATAACAGAATTCCGTTTTTTTCTTCAGCACATCTTCGGATACAGGATACACGAAATTAAGTATAAAGATTCTCGCATTCATTCGTCCAATACAAAAAGGAACTCATTTTTGATGCTATTGCCTTGAGCTTGAGTACTTACACATATTTGTATGCCACATTTACATGCGTAAAGTTTCATAGATATCGGTTAGTAAACACCCGAGCTCATCCGAGTATTCGGAACTTGGTTAAGAACTTCCTTTGAATTGTATTCGGAATCCAGGACGAATAGTCACACTCGTATTTGGCATTGAAAGACAGCTCACAAATGATTTGTGATTGATAGTAGAACTTTTTTTTCACTCTATATGCGCGATCTCATATAAAATTACATTTAATTTAAATTAAGCATAAAATTAACTTAACAGAGAGAGAAAAAAAAAACAAAAAAAAAAGCATTACGAACTAGATATATAAATAGAAATTGAGTACAATAGCTAACAATATATTTAACTCACCGACCAACCGAGACGGGGCCCAATATACCCCGCGGGCTGGCCAATAGCTAGGGTATTCTACGCTAGCATCTAGCTGAAATAGTTTAAGAGCGTGCACTTGACGTTGGTGCAATCGGGCAGTGAAGTGAACAGGACGCAGGATAACTTGTAGTCGTAGATGAATTCGCAAGTGGGATAGCTGCAACAACAGAGAGGGAGAGAGTTAGGGAGCAAGAGAGGGTAGGGGGGGAGAGAGAATTATAAGAAAGAAATTGCCAGAATTATTGAATTTCGTACTGTGATGGGAATTGCAATACGGCTTAAGCTAAACCTTATTATGCCATTCGAGATGGGCTCGGCTCGTGTTTGATTTTCGTGACACGATATCGAAACGATTAAACGATAAACGATAAAACAAATTCGATCTATATCCTGTACAGAGATCGTGACACGATGCCATGCAAGCTCAAATCTAGCGCTTCAGATAGAGATGGACGTGTATGGCAAACTTGTTTATCGATAGCTAGATAGTTATCGATAACGATATATGTTAGCCAAGCAACAAAATCAAAACAGAGCTTCATCTGATATTAAACATAAATCTTGAGTCGACATCGATAAATATCGAAAAGAAGTTGACTATCGTGTCGTGCGTTCATCTCTGGCTTTGGATTAACTAGGGAGTAGAAGTGCAGGGTCTGGGGGAGGGTGCTGGGCTTACCTTATTGTAAAGAACCAAGTGCACTTGAAGTTGCACAGAATGCCATACGGTTTCTTCAGCTGCTCCTTCTTGTTGACGATGGTGTTCTGTAGATTGTAGCCATCGTAGCGCCGCCAGCAGTGATTGATGTTGCCTGCAAATGGGAAAGTGGAATGTGATATTGCAGGTTCGTTATGTGGGGGTAGATGTGAGGAGGAGTAGTTGCTGTCGTAATTGTCAGCTGTCCGACTGGAGACTTACGTCGTATGTGATGGCTGCCGCCATGATGATGAAAATCGCGTCCCTCCAGCTGGCTGCCATGGCCATTGGTTGCCTCGGCGCCCAGCAGGATGCTGCTGCTGCCAGCTCTGGAGCCGCCAAAGAGCAGCAGATACCAGAGCAACAGCGAGCTGGCGATAAAGATGTAAGTCACTAATTTGGCCATTTCCGGCGGAACTGTGCGCTAGACTTGAACTGGCTTGCGGCAGGGCGGGACTTCGCCTGCTAAATGCACTGCTAAGCGAGTGTCTGTGTCTGTGTGTGTGTGTGTGTGTATCTCCCTCTCTCTGTGTGTGTGCGGGTGTGTGTTTATGGCTGTCGCTTTCGTTGCCGCTGCGAATGTCGCCCCTGCACTGAATACATTGTCTGAAAAAGTGAATTTGTTTTGCTCGAAGCTCCTCCGTTCGTTGTTCGTTGTTCGCAGCTCGCCTTATTTCTATTTTTTATTTTCAATTTTGTCATACAGTCTACCTTCGCTCTGCGTATCTGCACACGGCATTTGTACTGTTTACTCTTTTTGTTTTGTTTTTAGTTTTTCGGACATCATTCATGAACCTATTCAATTGCTGAATGAGTGAGTATTTCGGCTGCGCTTCGCGCTGTCACTCACTTCGCTAATTTAGGTAATCAACAGCGAATTAGCTTAACGGCTGCCTCTCGCCATCTCGCTCTCGCTCTCGCACTTGCACTCGCACTGCCTCTCTCTCTCTCTCTCTCTCTCGCTGGCACTCTCGCCACGTCAAGGGGCTACGTACCCCCATCGCAGTCAACGCACCCAGAAATTTGTGTATCTAAATTTAGCATTGATTGCGTTAAGGGCAGGCGGCGATACCATTTAAACACTATCTATCGATAGCTGGTTGACTCGATTGTTATCGATAGTTTAGCAAATATTTATCGATTGACATCGGATACTTGTAATTTATGACTCAACAAAATAGTTTTACGCGTTTTCTCAGCAATAATTTATCGATAATCGGTTGCCTTATCGATAACAAGTTAAATCATTCGATAACTACATTGAATAATGATAAATTCGATAGCTGAATTCAATTTGCAATCACACATTATACGATGTTTTAGCACTATGCGTGTTATCGATAACAATTAATCGCTATATATGTACGGAACTAAGTATTCATATTTATTGATATTGTGCTTGACAGCTCGACATTTACTTTGTGAGATAACTGTATATGAGTGGTACTTACTTGTTATCTACATGAACAGTACACATGTTATCGATAACAATTCATTATTATCGCATGTGAAAACTTATTCATTTCGATTAGGCATACTAGTTTTATCGATAGTATTTTATCGATAGCATTAAGTGAGCGATATCAAGACGTTTCAATGATAGGAACCCGTTTTACGAAGCATATTTAAATATCAGAAAAGTGATCGATAACCGCTTATAAAAATTAATACAGAATATTCAATAATTTCGATGTGATCGATAACTGTCGATTAATTTATTTTATGAGAAGTCATTTTACAAAACATTTTAATTGAGTTCAACTGACAATACGCATGTTATCGATAACATTCTTCATGCACATTTTATCGAAATGCCTTTTTAACTGAATTGAAAAACCTTTTGTTACGCGAAAATGTTGTAAAGTTCTCGTAAACAGACTTAAGCCATGTAGAATGTCAGCTTAAAGATTCCTCGGCATGCTACACATTCATGGCCACAGCATCAGTCACATTCACATTCACATTTACAGTAACATTCACATTGACATTCCGAGCTAGTCAAAGTGTAATAAATTAAAAATTTATTTAACTGCAGTTGACAATTTATTTGCATTTAATTTACCACAAGAGAAGAAGCAGAACACGAGCCAAGTACAAGACAAAATAAAAGAAAACTTGCCAAAATCATGAAGTGCCAAGAAACAAGGGCCCCAAAGGCTGGTCGCGCCACTCAAGGGATTCTAACGGCGGCGGAGCCTGGGCTTGGCTTGGGGGAGGAGCTGGCATTGTAAAGTGCGGTATGTGGCATATGCAACGCAATGAAACGAAATGAATGTCGCTGAATGAGTGTATGAATGCATGAATGAATGAATGCATAACTAACACGAAGCCAAGACCCAGCCAAAAACCCAGCCAACCCAGCCACCCAGTTGACGGTCTGCCCTGGGGGGAACCGAATATGAAACTCGTAATGGAACTGCAACTGCAACGCGAACTGGAATGAGAACTGGAACTGGCTGAACGAAGTGTTTGGCAACACTTAAACTTGATTAAAAATTTAATAGCCAGCAGGGCAAACATTTGCTTCAATTTCTTTGGCTCATCCGTCTTCAGCTTTTGGTAACTGCAGCAACAGCTCCAACCTCCACAGCCAAGCTCTGTCCGCCTCTTTGCTCGACATGTCTATTCAATTACACTACTTGCCACAACACTTGTCCGACTGTGCGTGTGTGTGTGTGTGTGTGTGTGTGTGTGTGTGGCTTATGCCAATGAATGCATTTCATTTATTTGCCATTAGAAACTCCAGTAACAAAAATATTTTCATATTTAATTAAACAAAAATGTTTCTGACAGTCAGACTGACTCGGGCCAAGTCGCAAAACAATCGATAAAAGTGATCGATTTTGTGTTTTAACACGATATTTATCGATATTCGATAGCGTTTGAAGCATATTTGTGTTGCATTTATATACAAATGCTATAATCTTCGAGTTATGCTTTAAGAACCATGTCACAAGATCGATATTTATCGATCTTTCGAATATTTCAAGATTGAAGCGTTCACAGAGACAGACAGACGTTCTGATCAAGAATATATATACTCGTTGGATTCGAAGCTGCTTGATATATTATTTACATCACAAGTTCTAGCTTGTTGTTAGTTGTATCGATATTTATCGATCTTTCGAATATTTCAAGATTGAAGCGTTCACAGAGACAGACAGACGTTCTGATCAAGAATATATATACTCTTTGGATTCGAAGCTGCTTGATATATTATTTACATCACAAATTCTAGCTTGTTGTTAGTTGTATCGATATTTATCGATCGATTTATTAAGGCTATATTGTGTTTTATTTAACAAAAACACTTTTTATATAATTACAGCTAACTTGTATGCCAAATATTATATTATAAAGTTGTGTTGAACGCGTTTTGACTAAGCTTTGGAAAAGTTTTCAAGCTTCGAAACTATTTGCCGCTTAAGCTTAGCGCATGATGAGTGCGTAGAACTTAAAGCTCGTCAAATAAGTGAGCATTTCATAGAAAGTTGAGCGAAAGGCCTAGAAGCCCGATTCAAAGCTCGATCGGTGGGCAGCTTTTTCAAGATTATTGAATGCCGACACAAATACCCAGTAGTACTTAGCACTTATTGGCTTTAATTGTGCAAACTTTAATTCTCTGAAAAATTAAAACCACAAAAAAAAAACAAATAAATAGAAATAGAAATAATAATAAAAGAAGAAAACAATGACCAGCAGCGAAGCAACAGCTCCAGTTGTAAATGATGAGGCACTCGCCAGCCCACAGGGCAAACCCACAGCCAAGCCCAGAGACAGCGAGCGCGATGATAAACTCGCTGACCCGAGCCAGAGGAGAAGAGACGATGCCGACAGCGTCTTCAATTAAATAGTAATACATAATAATCAACAAAAAAAAAACAACAACGCACAGCAGAAACAAAATAGAAAACAAGATGACTACAGTCGGAGCAATGTTCGACTAGCAGATACCCTGTAGTTGCATATTCTTGAACTTGAATGCTTTTAGGTCGATTTGAAGGAAATTTTAAGTACCCAAATATGGCGCCCAACTCTGTGTATAAATTAGATCTAAGGACTGTACCTTTAAGAATTGATGATTATATATATTTTACTGAAAAAAGTAGAGAGGTATACAAGAAGTAAAGTATAATGTATTATGCAAAAGAAACTACATAACAAATTTGATGTATCTAGCTGCCATACTCTTCGAGCTATGCCTTAAAAACCAGGTCGAGCAATCGATATTTATCGATATTTTTATTATTTCAAGATAGACGCGTTCACAGTGATAGGCAGGAAACGAAGCTTATGCCTCGTCTCTGCTTCGGCTTAAGCTTCCGTCTCGTATATTGAGAGGTATACAAAAATTGACTTATTCTTTATCCGTATCTTCTATACGAGAGCCTACATACCAAATTATGCCTTAAAAACCAGGTCAAGCAATCGATATTTATCGATATTTTGAATATTTCAAGATAGACAGGCAGACTTTTTGATCAAGAATTTGGATACTTTTTGTCCGCTTGGGCTAAGGCCTTCGTCTCGTAAGGTGTCGCACAATGCATGCTCCGTCACAAATACCCTTGGTTAGGGTGAAGCTTTTGCTTTCATCAACAAGCCAATTGATGAAAGCAACGACAACAAGAATCAACAACAGACCCAAACTAGGCAATAACAACAATGCGACAAATGCCGATGCCGATGACGATGACGATGACAAATTCGATAGCCGCTGTCGCTGTCGCTGCCGCTGCCGCTGGCGTTGCCCAACTGGGACAAGCCGAGTCTAGAGATCAAGCTGACAGTGCCATTCCGAACACGAACGCGTCGCAATGTCTCAGCAACGTTTAGCTTATCCAAGGGGCGATCGGGCCGCTCTGATCTTTGGCAGCGCTGCGATCTTTCTGCTGCTGCAGCTGCTCCAGCTGGCGGAGGTGACTGGCTACAGGGCACTGATACCCGCCGATTCAGGTACAAACCAATTCAATTATTACCTGACCACGCACTTTTACACCCTCCCTCTCTCCCCCTCTCTCTCTCTCTGTTTAGCGAATCCCGGCAAATGCATTTATCGCGGCGACTTGCTGCAGGCGGGCATCAACAATGGCATCCCGCCCTGCCAGCGGCTGACATGCAACGATGATGGCTCCATACTTATCGAGGGGTGAGTCCGGCCAGGGACACGCACGCATACACACACACACACACACAAATATTTGAAATGTTTTGCACTGATAAGAGGCCTGAGATCGACGACAACTTCGTGTATTGAGTTTTGAGCGTAGTTTTTTTTTCGGAATTGTGACTACAATTTGTGGGTCAAGTCTCTGGCAGCTAAATGGAGCACGAAATATGTGGAAATTGCTGAAGAAATTGTATTCTCATGCAGCTCAATCATCAAGTCGAGAGACAGGGTATTCAACAATAAGAACATTTTGTAGGGTATCGGAAAGTTAAAGATTCGGTATCTGTGTGCACTGTAGAAGAACCGATCTATCCACCTTTGGTGTCTTAAGCTGCGAGATATTTGCCAAACAACAGTTTATCGATATTTATCGATTTGTCATAATTCAAAAGCTAAGCACATTAAGTAGCCAGTGCGAAGCCTCTGGCCTCTAGG